CCTGTGGGGGTGGGGGTGCTCACCTGCGGGGGTGGGGGTGCTCACCTGCGGGGGTGGGGGTGCTCATCTGTGGGGGTGGGGAAGGTGCTCATCCTGCGGGGGTGGGGGGGGTGCTCACCCTGCGGGGGTGCAGGGATTCCCCGAGCTGCCGCACCAGAGGCCCGTCCTACCGTTGATACTCGGAAGTGTGCTAAGGCGAGGATGGCTCTGGCTTGGCTCATTCTTCATTAGGTAGGTGCAGTGCAGAAATCACAGAAAGTCGTTCCCACACCTCTCCCTGCAGCCGTGTACACAGGGCCAAGAAAGCCAGCTTGTGACTCTTGTCACTCGTAGGTTTGGAGGCGTCCCAGTGAGCACTCTTGGAGATTCTGGGTGTGTGGCCCAAAGAGCCTCAGTTGCTGTTGGAATTTGGTGGTGGTGGTGGTGCGGTGTCTATCACATTGATTGAAAACATCTGCCGTCTTAGCCAAAGGTGCGTGGAAGGTGGCTTACTGGAATGTGACCGGCAGGGAGCATCCTGGTATGAGAGGACATGCTAGAGCCTTTCAACAAAGAGTGTAGTCTTTCCGCGGTTTGTTTGGCAGGTAATTGTGTTAACTCCTGGGATTTTCACAGGTAGAGGAGCCCTCCATCTTTATTTTTGGAGCTCATGTTTCCGGTCCACCAGCTGGAAGGAGTTCAGTCTCTGACACCCCAGGGATGTCATCTTGGTACAGCTCAGCTGTCACCTTCTTGGTGATTCCTCCCCCATCCTCAGACCGGGGCTGCCCAACAGGTCATCCTGTAAGCTGGCACAGTGACTGCATTGGTTATGGCTGCCTGGGTTTCCTCTAGAAGAAGGCGTGCAGCGATTGATTAGTTCTGTCTGCCGAAGGAGAGTGTAGTGGAATCCCCAGATGGTTTTCCAGGCCGGTTGGGATGGACACTGAGGTGTGTTCCGGCCATCTGGGGCTAACCCCATGCTTTGAGCCCTACTGCTAGTGCAGAAGCAAGAGAACTGCTCAGCAGTGGTTTGCCGACACAGGGGCGAGCGTCTTCAATAATTTGGTAGATGTTCCGAACCACCTTGTTACTTACACTTCTTGTGTCTTTCTGTCTTCTTCTCTCCTTCTCAAAGATAAAACCCCGAACGTGACTTAGAAGCCATTGCACTTAAATACCTGATAAGCCAAGACTAGCGAGGGGCTGTGTCTTCCACTCGCCGGGTTTCTCCTTGGCCTCTCGGAGAATCCAGGTTCCATTCTCATCCTCTGGCCTTCCTTGGGCTGGACCTGGAGCTGTCAGCCCTGGGCAGGGTCTTGCTTTGGATCTGTCACTGTCATTAATGTACGGCACTTCCTCCTTCACTGCCCTTGGGTTGGTTTTCATGGACAAGAACAGTTGAGAGCAGAAAGCAGCAGCGACTCTGGCCCTCGGCACTGCGGGAGCCTGGTGGGGAATGTTGGCCGTGTATGTGCCTGGGGGTCTGCCTGGCATGTGCCGAGGCCCCCTGGGAGAGTGAGCCCTGAGTGTCGTCCCTTGGAGGACCTTGTGGGACACCTTGTCCTCTCTCCAGGCCTCTCTGTCGTGATTTGCCTGGCTGCCTGCTGTGGGATGTGAAGTGCTGGACCTGCTGCCCACCCTTACCCTCGGCACCCACCCTGTGCCCTTGCTGTTAGCAGTTCTGTGATGTTCTCGCCTTGGGGGCGGGGGTCTTCTGGCAGAGCTGTCTGAGAGCCTCGGTGCAGCACCCCATGGCCCTTTGTACTCTCCGAGACCCACCTCGGGTCCATCTTCCCCGCATCTCTTGGCACAATCAGTTCTCACGTAAAACTGGCTTCCTCACTGGGCGTGTCACTCTGTGCCATGCCTGGTGAGTGGCATAGTCTGCACGCTGGACTGGTGAGGTGGGCTTTACAGTCCCATTTTGTAGATGAGTGGCCTGAGGCTGTTGGAAGTCGTGGTTGGAGGACGCGTAAGCTCACATGGCACATGTAAGATGCAGGCCTGACAGTGGCTGGTTGCAGGGACATGTAACAGGAAAACTCGGAGCTGCAGACCTCAGCTCAGAAGCACTGAATGGCACAGTGTGACTGGTTGCTGGAAAGTTTTTGTCTCCTCATTCCAGTGGGTTTCTGTCTGTTTTTCATTCCCTGGAAAATGCAAGCTCGGTCTGATGTGGTCAAATCACTCTTGTGGCTGCAGCGGAGAACCAGGGTTTTGACATCCCATAATAAACACTCCCTGAAGCTGGGATGTTGCAGTGTTTTATGCATTTATAGAAAATTGTAGCACTCTGGTTCCCACTGCAAAACAAAGCCAAACCCAAACCAAATCGCAACCCCCACCCCCACCCCCACCCCCTTGCTTTGGATTGACTGTGGCTTCATGTGGCCCATCAGCAGGGAGCTGGCAGTGGCTCCAGCTGTGCGCTCCCTGCCTCCTGCGTGGTGAGCGCGTCCCAGCCGCGAGGCAGCTCAAGGATGGTTTCTGTGGTCTCCATGTGGAAGAACCACACAAGCATTTATTAACGAAGCTATACTGGCTTGTTACTGGCCAAAAGAAGATCAGCTTAAACTCCTCTTACACAGAAGGAGTAAGGCAACAGGGGAATATTAATTGTGGGTCTACACAAAGGAAAAAGCTGATAAAAAGGCTCAGTGGCATATTCTCCCTTTGTTAATTGCATGGTTCTTGCAATATCTTTTGTGCCGTTTTCGCTTAGTACTTCATACCTGTTTGAAAGACGCGGGCACCTCGGGGCCAGAGGGAGTACCTTTGAGTGGGAATCATAGAGCAAGTTAATGGGAGCCTGGAGATGAGAGTGAGGAGCCCGAGACATTTCTTGTTGAGTGCACAATGGCTCTTTTCTGTTTCAGATGAATTGCAGTTCTTTTAGAGAGTCTAAATGACTTTTCTCACTGATAAAGAATATGCATTTCTAGGAAGCTTACATAAGGAAATGTAGAAAGAATGGGGAGAAAACACAGCCCTGACTAATGGCAAGATCTTGGTGTGTTTCCTACTGTGGCCTTTGCCTTTATAAAGTCACCACAGTGCAAAAGGAGGGCTCTCCTTCTCTCCCCCAGAGGAGGGTCCTCCCCCGTGTATCCCCTCCGTACCCCTGCAGTGGCTTGTATATCGCACGTGGAGTTGTTCTTGCAGGCCAACAGGGTTGGGCAGTGCTTAGGTCAAGTCCTTTGGGAGGGGCAGAGGGGCAGGGCCTGCTGAGGGTCTGCTTGCCTTACACTTCGGGGGCTTCTCTTGAAGGTGCTTGTGGATTCTTCATTCAGGGTCTTGGGGAGAGCATTTTTCTAAAATGTTCAAGTACAAGGGTGCTTGAAAAGGGTCGTGAGAAATGAAATTAAAAGATAAGGTGGGGCCGGTGCTGTGGTGCAGCGGGTTAACGCTCTGGCCGGAAGCGCCGGCATCCCATATGGGTGCCAGTTTAAGACCTGGCTGCTCCACTTCCAATCCAGCTCTCTGCTGTGGCCTGGGAAAGCAGTAGAAGATGACCCAAGTCCTTGGGCCCCTGCACCCACTTGAGAGACCCAAAAGAAGCTCTTGGCTCCTTGCTTTGGATTGGTGCAGCTCCAGCCATTGCAGCCAGTTGGGCAGTGAACCATCAGATGGAAAACCTCTCTTCTCTCTCTCTCTCTCTCTCTCTCCCTCTCCTCTCTCTGTGTAACTCTGACTTTCAAATAAATAAAATAAATTAAAAAAAAAGATAAGTTTAAGGGCTGGCATTGTAATGCAATGGGCAAGCCACCTTTTGCAGTGCTGACATCTCATATCTGAGTGCTGGGTTGAGTCCCTGCTGCTCCTTGCTAATGTGCCTGGAAAGGCAATGGATGGTGGTCCAAGTGCTTGGGCCCCTGCACCACATGGAAGACCTCGGTGGAGTTCCTGGCTCCTGGCTTCAGCCTGGCCTACTTCCAGCTGTTGTGGCCATTTGGAGGATGAACCAATGGATGGAAAAGAGATCTCACTCTCTTTCTCTTTCTCTTTCTCTTTCTCTTTCTCTTTCTCTTTCTCTTTCTCTTTCTCTCTCTCTCTCTCTCTCTCTCTCTCTCTCTCCTTCTCTCTCCTTCTCTCTTACTCTGCCTTTCAAAATAAATATTTAGTGCCAAAGGTGTTAAGATCTGTGCGTAATTTTTCCATAATACGCCTTTTCCACTTATTTTTTAATGTGTCCTTGCAAATTGTAGCTGAGTCATGTGTGTAGTGATCACAAACCACTTTATAGCCACTTCTGTTTTTAATTGTTTGAAGTCAGCCAAGCGTGTTGAATAATTCAATTTGGAAAACCTGAGCAGCATACAGCAGGCCCAGATGGGTTATCCTTGGGCACAGTGGAGTGATGGGGTCACAGCTGAAACCCAAGGCTGGGATGTGTCCTTTGTTTCATGTCTGACCCCGAGAATGCTTTCTGTAAGATGAGGATAATAACACCTGCCTAGAACTAACCAGGGTGATAAAGTTAGGAGGACTTAGCCTGCCAGAGCGTCAACAGTGACTCAGAAGTAGTTCTACCTCTGCAGTGTGGTCTAGCACCATCACCGTCAGCACCATGACTAAGGCTCGGGTTGTGCTTCTTGGTGTTCAGAAACAAGGCTGTCATGGACACAAATGGTTAGAGTTATTCTCAGCGTGCCATTTGCCGGGACATTCTTGACAGCTATAGTGCAGACTAGACAGAAAGCCTTTGCTAGACAATTGTTCTTTAATTTAGAATGAAAGTCTGGAGTCCCAAGATGATATGATTCTGTCACAGTGTGACCATGAACCAGGGAGTCATTGACTCTCGAGTATTAAAATCCAGCAAGTCAAAGCTTGCTCAGCCTCTAGGTGGATCTGCATGGCTCACAGGTAAGCAGTGTCTGAGGCTGCAGCCTTCACCACCTAAGCTAAGCCTCCTTCCAGCTGTCACGAGGCATGGAAACAGGTGCAGAGAGAAGATGGCGGGTCCTGGGCCTGGGTCTGCCTGTGAACCTCACGGCCTGGTGCTTGTTGTGTTGCAGGTGGCGGAGATGCACGGCGAGCTGATCGAGTTCAACGAGCGCCTGCACAGGGCCCTGGTGGCCAAGGAAGCCCTGGTGTCCCAGATGAGGCAGGAACTCATCGATCTCCGGGGGCCGGTGAGTACTCTTGCCTGGCTGCTCTTGGCCTTGGATGCTGCCCATGACCTCGCTGTTCAGTCTGTCCATTGTTGGTAGTGTCGGGCATATACCAAAGCTCAGACATGGAAAGAACGAGCATCCGTGTACCCAATACCCATATCCGTGTACCCAGTACCTACAGTGACCATGACCATTTTTACTTACTTGGTGGTCTTACTTGTGTGTGTCTTTTTTCTGCTCGTTTTTGTGTGTTTGTCTCTAAGGAGACAATGTGCTTGGGGAGGTGCCCCACACAGTCCTCTTTGGCACTGTTGCATTTTGGGTCATGTGATTCTCTGTGGCGAGGGCTGTCGTAGGCGTTGCGGGGTGTTCAGCAGCAGCCTTGGTTTCTACTTGAGAAGCCACTGGCTTTCCTCCACTTGTGACAGCCGAAGAAGTCTCTAGACATAGCCGTGTGTCCCCCGGGGAGCAAAGGTCACTCCTGGCTGAGAACTAGGCGTCTGGTTCACTCACTTTGTTGGCTCTTTTACTCTCTGTGGAATGAAGTTCCGTGATACCTCTAATGCCTTCTGTACGATGTATGTTCTTAGAAGCTGAGGTTGTCTCTGTCACTTGGCTGTTGCCAGCTATGATGCTGTGAGCATTTCACACATGTCTTTTTGCACACACATATAGTAACTTCTTCATTTGAAAACTTTTATTATGTAAAATACTTAAGTACCTAAAGGTAGGCAGATGAATATATATGCACTCTTGTGGCCATTGTCAAGTTCAACTGTTATCAATAATGTCTGATCTTGTTTCAAGTTACCTATACTTGCTCCCTTCCTCTGTATTATATGAATCAAACATTGAGCTTTTTTTTCACCCATTGACATTATATATCTCTAAAAATAAGAACACATAAAGATGATACCATTATCATCCCTGACATTACTCTCTGTAACATCAACTCTCAGTCATTGTTCAAATTTCCAGTTGTCTCTTTTGTGTGTGTGTTAAGGATCCACCTGAATTGCACACATTTAATTGGTTGATATGTCTCTTATGTTTCTTTTTCTTTATGTTTTTAAAATTACGGTGAAAGGCACATGACACAAAACTTAACCATTTTGACCATTTAAAGCACATAGTGTAGAGGCATTAAGTACATTCACTGTGCAGCCATCACCACCATCCATCTCCAGGACTTGTTCATCTTTCTCACCTGAATCTCTGTCCCCATTGAGCATTAGCTCCCCATCCTCCCATCCAAGCACTAACCAGGCCTGGTCCCACTTAGCTTCCAATTGGCGCGGTTAGTACGGTATGGCGTGGGCATGAGCTCCCGCTCCCACTCCCCCTGTGGCTGTGGACATGAGCTCCCCATGCATTTTGCTCACCACGAGAGAAGCAGACCCTTTGTTCTTCTGTTAGGTCGTGTTTATTTTTCTTTCTGCTTTGTAGCAGTTCTTTGTACATCTGTTTCGGTTGCTTGTGCATATTACCCCTGGTCTGTAGTTTAATCACTCACTTTTAGTAAAAGTGGAAAATTTCAAACAAAGCAGAGAGAATCGTATCACGAAACTCCATGGACACAGCACTCGGCCTCCATCATTTTCACACCAGGGTCATTCTTGCTTCATTCATGCTATGCTTAGTCCCCTCCTGGCTCACATTATTAGGATCGTATTCTTTTCTTTTCTTTTTTTTTTTTTTTTTTTTTTGACAGGCAGAGTGGACAGTGAGAGAGAGAGACAGAGAGAAAGGTCTTCCTTTGCCGTTGGTTCACCCTCCAATGGCCGCCGCGGCCGGCGCGCTGCGGCCGGCGCACCGCGCTGATCCGATGGCAGGAGCCAGGAGCCAGGTACTTTTCCTGGTCTCCCATGGGGTGCAGGGCCCAAGCACCTGGGCCATCCTCCACTGCACTCCCTGGCCACAGCAGAGGGCTGGCCTGGAAGAGGGGCAACCGGGACAGAATCCGGCGCCCCGACCGGGACTAGAACCCGGTGTGCCGGCGCCGCAAGGCGGAGGATTAGCCTAGTGAGCCGCGGCGCCGGCCAGGATCGTATTCTTTTCATTCACAAATGAATGTTGCAGTATTTATTGCTAAAGGTCACAATACCGCGTCTGAAAAATTCAGTGATCTCTTAACATCATCACGTGTACAGTCCGTGTTCGGAATTCCACGGTGAGCTCATCGTGTGTTCAGTGTGTTCGCCCTACTCAGGATCGTAATGGAGTCCACGCAGCGTGTCCAGGTGGGTGCTCGTCTCTGAAGCCCCGGCCAGCCGTGGATTCTGTTCCTGCTTGCTCATGCTCTCCCCTGGCCTTTTTTATTGCTGTTTTTGGAGAGACACGGCTTTGTGAACCGTAGGCTTTCCCAGTGAGGACTGTGCTGAGTGCAGCTGTGCAGTGATATTTGTCCCGTTCCTCTGTCTCAAACCAGTCGTTGTCCAGAGCCTTGATGCGTTTCCGGCTTGGTTTTGGCTCTGACTGTCCCGGGGGTCCCACGTGCACTTCTGTTTGGAGGCTCCACAGCATCTGTCGGGGAAGGTGCTGCTGGGGGAGCCAGCGTCCACCGGGCCCTGGGCACGCTGGCCCCTGTTGGTAATCTCCTGTGTAGGAACCCTCGTGGTGCAGTCCCCGATTCTGTTTCTCTTGTTCCTGCCGGGCCCAGGACTCTGCACCTGTCTCGTGGATTTCGTTAATTAGGAAGCTGGGCGCTTCCCTCCGTTGGGAGCACACTTGGAAAGTGCCTGCTGTGCGCTAGGAGCCCTTTGGGGGAAAGGTGTCTCCATTTTGTAGGCTCACTGAGGCTCGCAGAGGCCCCACGCTTGGCGAGTGTGTAGTAGTGGAGCCAGGTTTCAACTCAGATGTAATTATGGGGTCCATTTCCTTTCTCCATGCTGCACCCCTCTGGAGAATTGCAGGGAGAAGGTGTAGGAGAGGTCGCGTTGTTACTCACTGTCCTCATAGCAAGGTCGCAGGGTCCCTTGGCCGTGGCCTTCCCACGCGAGTCCTGCATTCCAAACTTGGGCCGTGTTTACCCTGGCTGCTCCCTTTGACACATCTATAGCCCTGGAGCTGACAAGACACAGTGGGGTTGTGGGGATGGAGAGGTCCCGGTGCTGACCTCTGTCTGCCTGTGTGAGTGGGCCGGGTCTAGGGGGCAGGCAAGTCTCTCCCCGCCCTCCCCCAACCCCCAGCTCCAAGGGCCAAGCCTCCGCTATGGCTGACCTTGCTGGAGAGGAACATAGCAGGCATGAAAGAGCGCACAGTGGCCCCATTCCCTAGCACAGGCTCAGTTTGGACCCTGGGTGTCCTGAAAGGGTGTCTCTGGGGGGGCCTTTTCAGAGAGCCCTGAAGCACGTCGTTCTCACTGTGAGTAGTAAGACAGGCGTCTAGCAGTACAGAGTGACAGCTGCCGAGAGTCCCAGCTAATATGTACTGAGTAACTGTTACCTGCCAGAAAGCTGACTCCATAACTTGAAATGCTTTAAAATTCGTTTTCATTTTTTTTTGAAAGGCAGATTGAGAGAGAGAGAGAGATTGATCGATCGATCGCCCATATGCCAGCTCACTCCCCAAATACCTGCAACAGCTCAGGCTGGGTCAGGCCAAGGCCAGGAACCTATAGCTCCATCCAGGTCTCCTACATGGGTAGCAGGGGCCCCAGTACTTCAGCCATAATCTGCCACCTCCCAGGGTGAACATCAACAGGACCTGGATCAAGAGCAGAGTAGCCGGGACTCGAGGCACACACTGCAGCTGGGAATGCAGGCATCCCAGGTGGCTGTGCCACATGCCTGCCCCTGATGAAGTTTTGAGCATGAATACTTCATTTAGCCCTCATTCATGCTAACAGTAATCACTGTTATGTCCCCATTCTGCAGAGGAGGAAACTGAGGCACAGAAATGAAGCAGCCTGCCCAAGGTCCCCCAGCAAGAAGGGGCGGATGTGGGGCTGACTTAAAAGATTGGATTTAAAACAAAGCTTTGCGGGGCCAGTGCTATGGCTCACTTGGTTAATCCTCTGCCTGCAGCGCCGGCATCCCATGTGGGCACCGCATTCTAGTCCTGGTTGCTCCTCTTCCAGTCCAGCTCTCTGTTGTGGCCCGGGAGGGCAGTGGAGGATGGCCCAAGTGTTTGGGCCCCTGCACCTGCATGGGAGACCAGGAAGAAGCACCTGGCTCCTGGCTTTGGATCAGCACAGTTCTGGCCATAGCAGCCACTTGGGGGGTGAACCAAAGCAAAAAGGAAGACCTTTCTCTCTGTCTCTCTCTGTCTATAACTCTACCTGTCAAATAAAAAAATATAAAAGCCTTGTTTGAGAGACAGAGAAAGTCAGGTAGACAGAGAGAGAAAGCTCTCTTCTGCTGCTTTACTCCCCAGATGTCCATGACAACTGGGACTGGGCTGAGGCGGAAGCTAGGCATTGGGGACTCAGCCCACGGGGGTGACAGTTATGTGGGTCATCACCATGCCCTCTCAGGGTCCGCATCACCAGGAAGCTCAAGTCGGGAGCCAGGGCCAGGCACCGAGCCTAGGCACACGCACGCGGGATGTGGGTGTCTTAAGCTGGCATCACCGCCAGGCCAAACGCCTACCCTTGGATTCTCTTTATTCATTTTTTTAACAGTTGAAAATTTGTCAGATTTTTGGAACTCTTCACAAACGTTATCCCATGCAGTTAAAAGGGGTATTCAGTGAAAAGCACACCTCCTCCCTCCAGCCCCTGATGTCATTCCCAAGGCAGTGACTTTTACCAGTCTTGCGTCTTTTCCCTAGAAGGGAGCAATGTCTGAGTAAGCTGCTTGCACGTGGCCACGTGTTTTAAAAACTGGTAGCCTGCCGAGTTCACTGTGCAGTATGTTACTCCCCCATGTAATGATATACTTTAGGGATCTTTTTATCTGACGTCACACGTAGGTGTGAGAACTGCTTTGTGTCCCTTGAACTGGCAGTCCCATGACCCATTCACCCAGGCCCCTGTGTTGTTCCCCTCTCCTGTTTTTAAGACAGTGCTGGAATAACAT